GTAAAGTGTATAGTTAATACTTAATAAAGTGTGAGGGAACCAAGCTTCGGCAAGAAGAGCGAGTGTTTACCTGTCATCATCATCATCATCATCATCAGCCTATAAGTGCCCACTGCTGAGCCAAGGCCTTTTCTCATACGGAGAAGGTTTGAGCATTAATCACCACGCTTGCTCAGTGAGTGTTTACCTGTATTCAGTATCAATCTATTTAGATCGTCTGTCCACTTTGTGGGTGGACGTCTTAAGCTGCGGTTGCCGCCTCAAAAAGTCAAAAGACCATCACAGACGGGGCTGATGTTCAGCCGGGTTTGCGGGACAAGCGCAAGGAGGCACCGCGGCCCAGAGCAGGAGAACGAACGGGGGTTTAGTCAGTAAGAGTCTCACTCTCTCGTGTTACCCTGGGCGGAAGAAGTCTTTTGATGATTTTCCCCTGATAAAAAAAACTGTGCTTGCCAGTACGGAAGAGCGATGATGAAAATAATAACTTTTATTTCGTGTTTTTACTAGGATATTTTCTAGGTACCTTCATAATGAATGTTGCAAAAATCCAGTTGACCGTACCTAACTGATAAATTTTTCCTTAGTTTCAGTCACTTAAAACTTTTGCTTTTTAGAAACTCTTTTCCGATAATTTTGCTACTAGTTTTGAACCGGTTCTTCCAAGTTTCCACCTGACTAGGTCCGGTTAAATTAACTTTTCTATTTGGTTCAATGAGATCGTGGTAATTGTTGCGTAAGCAATTTTCTGGTTAAATTTTTAACCTTTGCCGGAAACCTTTTGAAAAGTGAAACTTGTGACGGAAACCCGATATAAATATGAAGTCGGTTAAAAAGAAAAAAGTAACGTGAGTTCATTTTATTTAATGACAAGTAATCGTTGTAAATTATTTGTTATAACTATTTCTTCCTTATACTAGGTGTCGTCCGTTGCTCGGCTGCTTTGGGTCGTTTGTTTTAGGCCTTCACAAAAAGAATTGTTCAATTCACACTGGTTGTGTTTCGGAGACTGACGAACATATTGTCGGAAAATAATATTTTTTTCTTTCAAAACGACCTGCGTATGGATTTAAATCCAGAATGTGAGCTTCTGCTGCAATATTTGCTAAAAATAATGAAAAATAATTCTTATACATTAAGTTCTTTATAAATAATTAATACGTAATAAAAAATGTTAACGGTGAACAACCCTTATCAAAATCATTTATTTCATGTTAAGGCAAAGAATCCGAAAAAGAAGTACCTCAAGGACAGCAACTTTATACAGTCTCGAGTTGACCAGTCCCAATAGGCGGCGTCCGTTCATGAACATGACACGTATACCAGCACCGCCCAACTCAACCATAATTATTATAGGGAATCGAGCGATCCAGTGCCTCTGAGTGAGCATGACAACTACCAGCTGAGACAAGTACCCATATTCTTCAAGTCTAACTTAATTATAATAGGTTACAGGGCACTCACATTTACAAAAACTTTGAAGTTCATTAACAATTAACAACATGGTGTACAATTTAATAATTGAAATAAAAAAATTCTCTCATCCTGTTGAGTAGAACCAGCTAGCCTCCAAGCTTTTTTATATAATCATTGTCTTGTAACATCATATAAACATCTTATCACTTAGGAGCTTGAAAAATAGCCAGTAAAAGATTCTTAGACCTACTGAAACCAGTAAAGCCGTTTCGGAGGAGTAAAGTAACTAACATTGTGACATGAGAATTTTATATGAAGATACAACCCATCCGTGCAACCCATATTACCATTACATACAATTTACTTTCACTTCCATAGTTTCCATATATCCATACAAATAAAACGCCAGGGTAATTTCACCCTTAATAGCTTACAATAAGTGCGGATGGGTTTTGGGACCTATGGCGGTTGAGCGTGTAAACTGTAACGATTCAGTATTTTTTTTAATATGTTGACTGACCTGCTTTGTTTTGTAGTTGTGAGCACTTTTTAAATAAAGTATCCATGTAAAACTCTGTCATCATCATCATCATCTTCATCATCATCATCATCATCATCAGCCTTTAAGTGCCCACTGCTGAGCAAAGGCCTCTTCTCATACGGAGAAGGATAGAGCATTAATCACCACGCTTGCTCAATGCGGGTTGGCGATTTGGTCCGTTCCCATACTGCATAATTTAAATTAGATTTGGTTAAACAGAGAAATCTGTTATTAGCTTTACGTTACTGAAATTCATTTGATTCTGTAATACATATACTTAACATAAGTAGCGCTGTTGGTTTTCTAAATAAGTAAGTAAAAGACATTGAGGACTAAGAATAGAGGTTAAGGATTAAGATTGGGCTTCGGTAAATTGAGCATAGGGATTTAAAATAGGCATTAGACCTTCGGTAACGTCACTCATATGATGAAAGACAACGTCAGCGTTATTCCACGCTTGTTTTTTCTCGGTTTCATTCGAATATTTTTGGTTTTGCACATAATTAATTTATTGCGTATATTATTAATAAGTGTGGGAGAGCCATGCCGGAGTAATACCACGGCCGCACAGAAAATCGGCGTGAGACAACCACAGAGTTGTGTTTCGCCGTATGAGTGAGGTTACCGGAGGCCCAATCCCTCCCCTCCCTCGATCCCTCCCCAATCCCTAAATCTCCAAAACGCTAATTCCTAAAAGGTCGGCAACGCACTCGTAACTCCTCTGTTGCGGGTGTCCCTGGGCGGCGCTGATTGCTTACCATCAGGTAATCCGTCTGCACGTTGCTGACGTATTACATTAAAAAAAAAAAAATATTTTCATCCTATTTTATATGTATAGAAAGAAATTATTTGTTAATTACGTTAAAATAATAGTCTTTAAATTCCAATTGCGTGTGCGAGCGCTATAATATACCAGGGCCTCGGTCCCAGAACAGAAAATAAATGGCGTGGGTTTTAGTCAGTAAGAGTCTGACACTCCTTCTCGCCTTGCCAAAGTGGGGTAAAGTCATTTGATGACTTTTTCCCCTCACAAAAGTATTTGTACATAATTAATACATTGTGCGTTACACACCCTCTCTATCTACCCTCTAACGTTAAAGATAATTGTCGTCGTACCAGTAAATATCTCCTCCAGCCCCGAGATCACGGTTCCTGATTTATCAACACATTCTAGGAATCGAAGCCGTTACATTTGATGTCGGGCTTACAATCCCATTGGGCTTTATTGCATACGCTATAGAATTGACATTTGCATAACATCGTGGTTCGTTTTGTCGTTTTTTATTGAAATAGTATGGCTAATACTGGCGAGAAACGGAATGGGTCGGCTCGACCGGAGTGATACCACGGCCCCACAGAAAATCGGCGTGAAGCAACTATTGTGTTTCGCCGTGTATGTGAGGTTACCAGAGACCCAATTCTCTGTTGTTGCGGGTGTCCATGGGTGGCGCTGATTGCTTACCATCAGGTTATCCATAAGCTCGTTTGCTGACCTATATCACTTAAAAAAATACGTGAAAAATATTTTTGGCGGACTTATTCGGTTTTTAATTCATTTTCCTTATTGCTAGAAAAGCTGAAAACTTACTACTTAACATTCTGCACCTGGCCTAGAAATACATATATACTAATATTATAAAGAGGTAAAATTTGTATGAAGGGAGTAATCTTTGGAACCGCCTCGGATTGCCAAAATTATTTCACTAATACATGGATAGCTACACTGTTCCTGAGTGCTATAGGCTATATAACATCACGCTACGATCAAATGTAGCCGAGCAGCGGGTGAAACCGCGCGAGAGTAGCTAGCAAAATCCCTTACTTGATAGCTATCTTTCCAGCAATCGCTCAATTGCCTTGTAAGTCTAAATATACCTATGTTATCCAGATTACAATTATCTATACAAACGTTTTCAAGCATCGTGCTATGATATAGCAGGTGTCTGCAAATAATCTGAATCATTAGCCCCCCCTTCTATAGAGGGGCCTGCCCCCCTAGCAATTAGTCTGCATTCGTCGAAATTACAGGAGCCGTTAACTTGTTTGAATTCCGTGATGTAGCAATGCGCTGTAAAAGTAAACATGTATGTTAGTTAATATTCAAATATTCATAAAATACTAGCGGTCGACCTCGGCTCCGCTTGATCTTACAATTGTTCAAGTTTTTTGTTTTACTTTTTCTACGTACAATCCGTTCACTGAACTTGCACTGTTCTGAAGCCACACCATCTGAACTTAGTAAGCTCCAATGTCCTTCATAAGTTGCGAATGCACGGTTGGTGCGGTGGCTGGGCAACTGGCTGCCGTGCAACGTGTCGCGGGTTCGATTCCCGCACGGAACAACACTTTGTGTGATCTACAAATTGTTGTTTCGGGTCTGGGTGTGATGTGTATGTGACATTGTTTGTTTGTAAACGCACCCACAACACAGGAGAAAATCCTAAAGTGGGGCAATGTTTTTTTTAAAAAAAAAAAAAAGTTTATTCAGACGTTACTCACTCATCACCAGCATCATGATTAAGAATAAGACCAAATAAATTTAAGGTAAATTTTGTTTAACTGAGTATCGAGGAAGGATATTGAAATATAAAAATTGTTCCAACTGCCTGTTTTATTAATTTATATAATAATAAAATATCATATCAGCCTTGAGCCATCAGTGGTAATGCTCATTCTTTTTCAGCGTGAGAAAAGGCCTTTACTCTGTTGGCACTTATACTTTAAATGGAAAAGGTTGTCATATTAATAATAAATATGCTAAAATATTTGTAAACTAGCGACCCATCTCGGCTTAGCACGTGCTCAATACTAATATCATCAGCATCACTCTATCTATTAAAAAACTGCACCAACATTCGTTGCGTAGTTTTAAAGATATAAGAACAGAGAAAGCGACTTTGTTTTTTAATATGTAGTGATAAAATAACATTTTCGGCTATTAGCAATAAGTAAAAGGTTTATTCGCAACAAAAACGAATTATATTTCATTTGCAACAAATTCGATATAATACAACTGAAAGTTTGGACCTAAAAATCTAAACTGAAGTTACACTTCTTCCACGCAGGTTCCATCATCAGCCCGGTCCTTCCCTGCAGGGCACTCATCACCTTTAAAAGACGTTCTTGTTACTGTCACCACTTTATCACAAGGTTTATCATCAGTACATAGTTTATCATCACCATCAGCCGCGTTGTTAGCACCTGTTTTATTTTTAGCATTATCAGTAACCTTGCCATCGTCTTTTGTAGATAGTGTATTGTTTTTCGGCTGATCTTCTGTCTTTGAAGCAGTTTCATTTAAATCCTTTTGAGCTTCTTCCGTCGTTGCATTTGTAGTAGGTTTGTCGGGATTATTATCAATTGTTTTGTTAGCTTCATCTTTCCCTGTCTCTGCACCTGTTATAGGTTTCTTTGTTGTTAATTCTGTATTTCCTGTTTTAGGAATCTCTTTACTTTCTTTTGGATTAATCTTAATAACATTTCGTAATGCATCTATAATTATTTTAGTTCCATTTTCAAGAGTTTCTTTCACTTTTACCAACATACCTTGATGATATTCTGTTTTTTCTGCATCAGGTTTAGGCGTTTTACCTAGAAGATTGTTCAGACTGGCTTTTTGTTCATCTGTTACAAGGTCATCTAGTAAACCGCACTTGGCACTTATAATTAACACAGAAATAATTAATGTTATCTTCATTGCGTCTAATTTGCGTTTGTAGGTTAGTGAGGCTAATATAATAGTAATGGAAATAGGGCATCTATTATTTATATTGTTGTTTATACGATCAAAGTGTCACAGAGTGCAAGTGGGAAATTGGAATAATTGGTGCATTTATTTTGAGCAATAAATAATTATTCGTCATATCTCTACAATATTATAACAATGATACATAGAATTACCTTTAAATACAGAAGTACCCAATTTAAATAATAATAACTCAAAAACAATAAAACGTTATTAGTATACAATACATATAAGTAATCATTTATTTCAATCTGACACTGATCAAAGACGACGCGACGTGATGTGACGACACAATGATGATTAGCATCAGCAACATGACACTGCTTGCAACATTTTATTGTATTTGATATTTAACGTCGCAGTAACAGAATTCATAGATGTGTCTAATATGTGTCATTTTTTTTTTGGAGGAATATCATGGAATGGCTACACTCGCCCTGGGTGAGGCAAGATAGAGTACCAGGCACTTATTAACTCTTGCTCCGAAGTAGCCCGCGGTATGAGAATGCGTTTGATCAGCAAATTTGGTGTGGCATTAGCTACACTTCCTATTTTAAACGTGGTTGGTAGTAATCATAGTTAATTTAAACGGTGTTAATGCGTTAGTAATTACATAGTTTCCTTACATTTAGTTCAACAAAATAAAACTTCAAATGAATGCTTACAATTATTATATTCTCTGTTATACATGTAGTATCAAAACAAAATAAATATTGTCTTTTTTTATTTCTTCATTTATTTACATAAACATTTCTATCAGTAATTTGTTTTAATTCCACAATACCGTCGTCAAATTTTCTCCTATTTCTATATCTACCAGTTCGCTAGAGTTCGCAGATAATTCAATTGATAAACAGCTTCCATCATCGGCTCTCTCTTTTCCGAAACTACATTCAGTTATTGACAAGATATCAAGGAGCGTTTTACCATTGTGAATTATGTTCTTCTTGAAACAATTCTTACATTTCTTTGTTATAATTCTTCTGTCTTGTCTTTTGATTGAATCTTCTACAGCTTTATGTTTACCATGTTCGTTATTGTTTGTCAGATTTTTAATAAATGCGTGGCTTGGTCTATTTTCGACAGCATTTCTATTTATTTTTGCATTGTCATCACTATCTATCACAACACTTTGATTAAGAATTGTATCATTGATTATTTTATCTTTGATTTTATATGAATCTGTCATTTTATTAATGAGAGCTATTGAAACAAATATGATTATTATTAAAAACTTTTTCATGTTTTTTTTGGATAAATTACACAAATAACACAACACAGAATGAAAGTAATATTTAACAACTTATAAAATACAAGGATAAAGAAATTGCACAGCTGTGAACTGAACACAATGGAATTAGCTACGTTACATTTTGTGTTATCATATCAATAAGGTTAAAAGTTCAAAACAACAACCCAGAAAATGGTAAAACTACAGTTATTAAGAACAATTCCTGATAAAATGTGTTATGACTAATATTTTATTAGAAACTGGTGACAGTGATTTTTCGTCTTCAATTCAGTTACTTGGGCATTAAAAACAATTCAGTCTTGAATTATATATAATATCAATTTACAACAAACACAAAAATAAACTTATTCACATTTGCTCTAGCGACTAATTCGTAATACACACACGATTTGTTAAGGAATTTCTTTTATATTTCTTCAACGCAAGTACCATCGGCAGCTCTGTCGGTTCCATCAGGACAATAATTGGCCACCAAAGCATTAGAAAAGTTTGCTGGCAAGAAAACTTTACAAATTATCGTTGTATCTTCTTGAGTACAATTCGTTCCAAGATTTACACCAGAACTATTAACTGATGCTTGTATGATATTCAGAATGTGATTTATTTCATCTAACGACGTTGGATCAGTTACATTAGCTACTTCAATGTCCCTTTTTTCTATGTTATGTACTTCTGTGTGGTCTGTTAGATCGGTCCTCCAAAGTCTTGGAATAGCACAGTTGGTAATTGCTATGCACATTAACACAAACAGTATGATCTTCATTCTTGATTGCAATCCTCCTTTCTATTTCTTCTGTATTAACTGCACTTTTATTTGTTGCACTATCTTTTGAATTAATATTATCTATTTCTTTACAGTTTTGATTAACCACTTTGTCTTTAAATGCTTTAGTAATACGATTCGTTTTTGCACGATTAATATTGTTGCTTACTTTTATGAGATCTACTGATCAACTGCACTGTTTTTGTAAATTTCAAGATCTATTTACAGTATTTAAATCTTCATGATTATGTTTTTGTGAAATAATAAAATTGTTATCATTGTGTAGTTCAAGGTCTGTATCAACAGAAGTAGATTTGGGATATTTGGAACAAAATTGCTTTGAAATTGAACACGAATAAGACTAGTTAGTAGAAGTTTCCTGGATCAGTGTGAGAGAGCCATGCTTCGGCACGAATGGGTCGGCTCGACCGAAGTGATACCACGGCCTCACAGAAAACTGGCGTGAAAAAACCAAAAACACGAGGCCCGTTCCTTCCCCTACCCCCAATCTGTTCCCTTGCCCAAAATCTCCAAATCCTTAATCCCCAAAAGGTCGACAACGAACTTGTAACTCCTCCGTCGTTGCGGGTGTCCATGGGTTACGCTGATTGCTTACCATCAGGTAATCCGTTTGCTCCGGTTTGCTCGTTTGCCGAACAATCATATAAAAAAAATCAGGTGAATAATTACTAGACGCTTTTAGGAATTTCGAATCATCCCTTGTAATCTCGATTTGATGCAACATGGGATCAAAAACTAGTGAGTAACCAAGTAGATATAGAAACATAAATTGGAAGAAGGCAATAACAAAAAAAAAATCATATCGTCTAATTTATTTTCTTGCTAGATATTAGACAGTTTATTCTTGCACCGGACTAAAGTGGTTAGGATGTGCCAGGATTGTGTCGTGGTGGTCTGAGGCTACACATGCATGACCGTGTGGGTTCGAAACCTAGCAGCCTTCCAATCTGACCTTTTCCAAGTTATTTATATATTTTTTAAATTGTCATTGTAAGGAAACCTGAATTTATAATTTCTACTTTTAAGTTAGAAAACCCTTATGCAAACGTGGTGATTAATGCTCTTACCTTCGTTTTAAGAAGAGGCCTTTGCTCAGAATTGGATACTAAAGACTGGTAATGATGACAACGCCAGAGGGATTGTCCCTTAAAACAAAAAAATGTAAATAAAATAAAACGTGGATGGAGCTCGTTCTAATTTATCCCCACTTTCCTCGTTGTTTTGAAGACGTTTACTTTAGATAACCCTGACCGATAGACGAGGCCGGTTCCAAGTATACTTCTCACGTCTTTCGGGTTTTCCTTAACGAGATAACTTAATCCAATCATTTAACAATTTCTTGGTAAAAATACGAGTATAAATGTGTTATGCATTTTTTTATTTATCTACTGAATTTTCCGGGTGTAAGTTTAGATTAAAAAAAATAACTTTCTCCTATACTAGGACTTTCTCTTGTGTCGTGGATGCGTTTAAAAACACTCAATTTTACATACACATCACACATAGATCCAAAACACTGCACGGTTGGCGCGGTGGCTGGGCGCCGGTGGTTGGCGTGTGATCCAGAGATTGTTGTTCCGGGTCTGGGTGTGATGTGCATGTGAAATTGTATGTTTGTAAACGCATCCACAACACAGGAGAAAAACCTAAATTGGGGCAACGCTTAAAAAAAACAACATTTTTTGGATAACACTGAGAGTGGTTCCGCGCGAGAAAAGAACTCGCGACACGTAACACGACAGCCGGTTGCCCAGCCATCGCTTCAATCAACAACAAATTAATCCAATATAAATGTTATGTATAGATCTAAAACCAACATATAGCATTTCATATGTTTAGAAAAAAATGTGGGAGTGCCATGCTGCACAAAGCACGAATTGATCCACTCGACCCGGAGTGATAAACCTCACAGAAAACCGATGTGAAACAAACACAGCGTTTCGTTTCCAAAACCCTAATTCCCAAATCATACGCCAAGCAATCGCATAAAAATACAAACTCATCGCAGAGGAAACACTATACTTTATATCACAAATCATACTAGATTCAGCCGAATTTAAAACGTACTAGGAAAGAACCAAACTTAATGACAAAACTGTTCACCATATCAATATGCCACGACTAGAAAAACAACATAGTAAATATACACACATTACGATCCGAAATAGACTTAACCATAGTTCTATTCACAATAAAGAACTACAAGTATAGTATATAGTAGGGAAACACAACGCTGTAGTTGTTTCACGCCGGTTTGCTGTGAGGCCGTGGTATCACTTAATTCGAGCGGGCCCATTCGAGCCGAAGATGGCTCTGCTTAACTTACATGAAAAATAATTATTTTAAAAATAGTTCATACTTACTGTTAGTTTAAAATTACAGACTACAGACTCTTATAAAGTCGCCTCAAAGAGCCAATAGACCACCACAGTCGGGGCCCTAAAGGGCTGATGTTTAGCCGGGGCTGCGGGGTAAGCGCAATGAGGCACCGCGACCTCGGCCCAGAGCAGGAGAAGGAACGGGGGGGTTTTTAGTCAGTAAGAGTCTGACACTCTCTTTCGCCTTACCCTGGGCGGGAGAAGTCATTGGATGATTTTCCCCTGACAAAAAAAAAAAAAAAGACTCTTATAAAGTAAAACGAGCAACTAACTCAATGGTTACTCTTTTGAACTTAAACGTAACTGTAAAGTGAAACTAACCGCAGTCAGTCTTTATAACTTAAACCAAAGTTTAAACTTGGAGTATTTTTCTTTCTCGAGAGTAAAAACGGTAAACTAATTTGCGAGAGACAGTTTAAACCGTGCGTATATATTACATTACATTGCGAAGGCAAAGTTTTGTGTTCAGTTGGGGCAGTGAAAACTGCGTTTTAAGGAGATAAAACAGATGTTCCACCATGCCCAAGAATGTATTGCG